CTTTGTCTTGTGTGTCATTGACGTCTTTTCAAAATTTGGCTGGGCCATTCCACTCAAAAATAAATCAGGTGCAGCCATAGTCAAAGGCTTTGAAACTTTGTTCAAAAACACGTCACGCCGGCCACTGCGACTTTTTTCAGACAATGGCACGGAGTACAAAAATAAAATTGTTCAGCAATTTCTGAAAAAACACAATATTACGTACATTGCCACAAATAATCCCGACATTAAATGCAGCATAGTTGAACGTTGGCAGAGAACAATCAAATCAAAATTGTTCAGATACTTTACAGCTACTGGAAATTACTGTTACATCGATGGTACACTAGAAAAAATTGTCCAGTCGTACAACCAATCTTATCATCGTTCCATAAAGATGAGGCCGGTAGACGTGACCCCGGAACGAGTCCTTGAAGTATATAATAACTTGTATCATAATAAATCATTTAAATCAAAGAAACCGAAATTCAAAATAGGAGATTATGTCAGAATCACCCGAGAGAAAAAAAGATTCGAAAAATCTTACACGTGGAATTGGGGATCTGAAGTTCTTCAGGTCATTCAGGTCATTCCTCATGCGATGCCGGTGTACAGGCTTCAGGACCTCAATAAAGATAAAATTCTCGGGACGTTCTACGAGAGTGAGATGCAAAAGATCACGAAGCCAGAGGTGTTCCAAATCGAATATATAGTGAAGTCAAAGGGAAAAGGAAACAGTCTGAAACATTTCGTTCATTGGAGAGGTTATCCGAAAAAAAGTCGCTCCTGGATTCGTGATTCCGATATTGTGAAAAAATAATCATGGATTTTTACGCATTTCTTCCCAGTAATGCAAGCCCAGACGTGTACCCTGACAACAAAACGTCCCATTTTAAGACTCAATTAGCCAACCGCATGGAACTCCACGGAGAGTGGCAAGCGGCCTTGGTCGAACTACACTACCCAAACACTATTGCGCAACTCACTGAGGGAGAAAACGAAATCATTTTACAAACAGATCAAATGACAGACATTTTGACAGTCAAACCTGGTTGTTACCCCACCAAAAAAGAGTTCATTTCAGCAGTAAGCGATGCTCTCGCACTAGTGGCCAATAATATCAGGCCAGGAAAATGTTTCCAAGAAGACAACGACGGCCGTATTATTTTTGAGCCTTTTTTGCCCGGAGAAAACGGAAAAGTATTTTTTTCCCCTCGCCTCGCATTACAGCTCGGCCTAGAAGGCCACGGCCCTTTCCCAGCCAATCAGAAGCTTTATGGCGTGAAGCCTGTCGACCTCTCTCTGGGCATTCCCCCGCAACTTTTCATTTACTTGAATATTCTCTCTGATCAGATAATTGGGCACATGAGGGCTCCCCTTTTACGCACGGTCCCCGTGGACACCAAAGCTCAGTACGGCACTATGTCAGTCGTTCACTGTGACCACCCGATCTACTTTGATTTATGTACCAAATCCTTTGATACCGTTCAGACCTATATAAGGGATCACGCTGGTCGTCTCATACCATTTGAATACGGAACGCTGACACTCTTAGTTCATTTTCGAAAAAAGTAACACGATGACTGTTATCACTCAATACTATCTCAACCAAGCCGGTGGAGGAGCAGGCTCAGGACCCTATTACGCCGGAGCACAGTACCAGAAAGGGTACGGTTTAGGTTCTTGGCTAGGAGGGTTATTCCGCTCCGTTCTCCCCATACTACGCAGTGGCGCCGCGGCCGTAGGGAAGGAAGCGGTGCGCGCCAGCAGTCACGTCCTTGCTGACGTGGCAGGAGGGCAGGGCCTGCGCGATAGCGCCCAGCGCCACATCCAGCAGGCAGGCGACAACCTGGCTAACTCACTCAAACGCAAAGCGGACACGATGAAGGGCTCCGGGCGTATAAAAAGGCGTAAGACCACAAGGAAAGCTCATAAAGCGAAGAGTACTCGTAGGAGAAAGATCTTGGCTCCCGACAATTACTTCAGCTAAAAAAACATGGCATTCATGCATTCAGCGTCAAGCGAGTGCCTCCGCTCAGAGCTAGACTTGTGGATGGTGCCACCCACTCAAACCGCTCTTGAGGCCACGCATTGGGTCCCCTACAAACCGCTGACTACGCTCGATTCCTCTAACACCCTCGAATTTTGCATCCCTGGGGCAGGGAGCGAATACCTGGACCCGGCACACACGATTCTCCTGGTCAAGGCCAAGATAGTGAACGCTGACGGCAGTGACATCACTGCAGCGGACAATAATGATGCCGTCCCCGTGAATTACGCGCTCCATGCACTATGGAGCCAGGTAGACGTCAGTTTGAACCAAAAGGTGATTTCTCACTCTAGTATGACCTACCCGTATCGCGCGTACATTAGGCATTACTCAATTACGACAGCTCAGCCAAACAGTCTCACATGACTCAGAGACTGTGGTACCAGGACACGCCAGGCCACTTTGATTCTCTGGACGGTGCCCAGAACCTCGGCCTGGCGTGGCGCCGTGCGCGCACAGCGCGGAGTCGCCCCTTTGAGATGATGGGCCCGTTGCACATTGATTTTTTCAATCAAGATCACTTCTTACTCAATAATGTGGAACTACGCCTGAAATTCATTCGGAATCGAGACGCTTTCTCTCTCATGTCCACGGCTGGGAATGAAAAAATAAAACTTTTAGACGCAACTTTGTATGTACGAAAAGTCGTTATTTCACCCACGATACTGCTGGCACACGCACAGGCTCTGGAAAAAGCCCCTGCCAAGTACGCAGTCAATCGAGTAGACATTAAAACAGTCACTATCGGTCAGGGACTACGTGACAAAAATATAGATAATCTTTTCATGAATCAAATGCCTCAAAGAATTGTGATTGGATTCGTCGACAACCGAAGTTTTAATGGAGATTACCAACGGAATGGATTCAATTTCCAACACTTTAACTTGAACTACTTGAGTCTAATGGTGGACGGACATCCGGTCCCCTCCCAGCCCCTTACCCCTGATTTTCAGAATGGACTGTACATGGAATCATTCAATACACTGTTCTGCGGGACAGGCGTGCACTGGCGAGACGAGGGCAATCAAATCAAATACGAGGACTACGCGAAAGGGCTTACCCTTTTTGCTTTCGACCTGTCACCTGATTTGTCTGCCAGTGAACCGCATTGGAATCTGCAACGCCAGGGGACACTGCGATTAGAAGTCAAGTTTGGTGAGGCTCTCGCCCAACCTATAAATTGCATCATTTACGCAGAGTTCCAAAATCTAATTGAAATTGACAAAAATCGAAACGTTATAGTGGATTACAACGTGTAGATTCATGGACGGAAACACACTCGGAACCATTATGAAAAAAGACAAACACGTTGCGCCGTTGTTTGAAGGCGTTTTTGCCGCAGACACACTCCCACGCCGACTACACAAGCGGCCTGCCCTTCTCATTTGCAACACAGACCCCCTGAGTAAACCAGGACAACACTGGATTGCATTTTACATAGATAAAGACGGACATGGTGAATACTGGGATTCCTACGGACTCCCACCGATAGTAAAACTGCACCGAAAATTTTTGGAGCGGCTCTGCAAAAAATGGACGTACAATCCAAAGAGTTTGCAAGCCATCGATTCCGACGTGTGTGGGCAATACTGTGTCATGTACTTAGTACATCGAGCACACGGATTTACGCTTCATTCATTTGTCAAAAAATATTTTCGAGATGATCCTATAAAAAACGATCAAGTAGTGCGAAGCATGTTTAAACGCATGTTTGCACATAAATGCAAATGCGTTTTGCCAAGTGATTCACACTCGCAGAAAAGTTGTGCAAGAAAAAAATAATTCTTTCATAAAAAAGTTTTTTACAAACACAAAAAAATTTTAAAAAGTTTTTTACAAACACAAAAAATCAAAAAAAGAAAATGTTTCTAACTCGAAAGAGAAATTTTAGTTCGGCAAAGTGGTACCCCTGCGCAGCCAGCGCGCCCAGCGCGGTGGGGGCGGCGCACCTGCGCATGCGCGGCACTTAGTACAAAATTTGACCACAAGGCGGCGCGCGCATCGCGGCGCTGCGGCATAAAAGGGGGCGCGTTCCAGCCACACGCATCAGTACGCGTACACCAGTCGCCACGATGGAATCGCTCCGCTTCATGCTCAACCACTGGAATCAGAAAGAACTGGTCGCCTCGCAAGCCACAGACACGGTTCAGATCTGGAAAAAAGGTTTCCTACAAGATGAATACAGTCTTGACGAAATCGAAGAGTTCTATCTTGAGAAAGAATGGCTGGTCCCGAAAATTACCGCCCATCTCACAGGCAAGACCGAGGACCACCTCGGCCAGTATGACCGCTTGCAGTCTCATCTCATTCATTACATTAAGCTGCGAGATAAGCCATTCGTTCTCGTTGAAAGAGACGCTAATTTCAAAGAGGTGGATGGAGTCCCACAATTCTCAACCCATCTTGGGCTCACTGCGTGGACCTCCATTTGTAAACTGGGCATGACGGTCTTCGAAGTTTTTGCTGGCCCCGAAATAGAATGGTGCTGACTACCCACAGCGCGCGCCGGGCGGCCTGCCTCCCAGGCGGCGCGCGGCACGGAGCGCGGCGGGCCGGCCTACCTCGCAGGCGCCGCCACGGGTGACATTCCAGCGCCATGCCTGGTCCAGCCTTAGGTTAGACCTCATCTTGACCTCCCAGACTTAGTTAGTTGGGTTAGAGCCCTCATCTTGAACGCCACCAAAAAAATCCAAAAAAAATTAGGTTCAGTTGGGTTACACCCTCTCACGTCCACCCCCCCCCCCACCAGTGACATTGTCCCGCCTGATGTCGGACGGTGACATTATAGTATCCTTACTACTGGCCAAGCAGGCCCTGGCTGGCTGCCGCCAGCGATCGCCGAGCCCCGCCGCCCCCACACTGTGCATGATGTGGTGCGGAGCGTGCCGGCGCCCCGGCAGGCCGCCGCGCCTGCGAGCAGGCCAAGCAGGCCCTGGCCGTGGCTGCCGCCAGCGATCGCCGAGCCCTGCGAGCAGCACAAGCACACCAGGTTCGTGGTAGCACCACCACGCCACGCTGAGGCCCGCCGCTCCCGATGCCTCCTATGCAGGGCGGTGCCTCTCGAGGCCACGGTGAGGCAGGCGGCTGGCGCCGCGGCACTGGCAAGGTCATGCAAAGCATTTCGCAGGACGATCGTTGCCCTCGTTAAAGTGCCTTGCGCCCACCGCGACTCGCTGGCAGCACCTGCCAGCCGCCCATGCTCCACCCCTCTAGGCCATCTAGCAAGCCGCCCCCTTGAAGACTAGTCTTTGCCCGGAAACGATACAGTCGAGGCCCGTAATGAATCAAGGGTTATTTGGTTTCAAGATTTTTTTATTGTAGCAACCAGAGAGAAATTTAGATTCGACGGAGGTGCCGCCACTGCCAGGGGACAGCACCCTCAGTGAGGAAGTACTGGACAAACTCCTCCCTGATAGCCTCAGCGAGGGGGCCGTCGCCTGCTCCACCCACAGGGTCTTGGGGGCCGAGGGGCTCAGGCCCATCTTGCAGCGCCTCTGCCCGCCAACCTCCCCGCACCACATTGCCCCGCCAATCTTCTCGGTCCACAAAGTCCGGCGGGGCATAGTGAGCAGCAGCCCTCTCCATCAAGTAGTTATGGAGGACTACAATCGCCTGTATGATCAGCTTGGCGGTCCGTTTGGTGGCCAGCATCGTCTTCCGGAGGAGCCGGAACCGGGCCGTCATGATGCCGAAGGCGTTTTCAATCACGCGTCTGGCGCGAGTCAACCTAAAAGAACATAAATGATTAATAAACTGTCAGAACTTTCTTGTCAGATGTAAGTGCCGAGACGCTCGACTTACCTGTAGTTGAAGATGTTATATTCATCTGCGAGAAAGGTTCCCTCACGGGCCGCATGACATTGGGGGCAAACCAGGGCCATTCAGCAGCGCCCAAAATGGACCATCGACGATTTGGCCCATTTTTGGCTCAAATGTTACCTACCCATAGGTAAACATCGGGGTAAAATTTCAGCCACCTAGGTGTCGTTTCATAGGAGTTATGGGCAATCTTAGTTTTTGACTTTTTCTCTTTAGTGGTTTTTGACCAAATTGCTACATTTTCCAAAAATCCCTCTCAAACCCACAGTTTTGCCCCTAGCTGGCTGAAAACTCGTTTCCCATCGTAAAATTGCATGAGGAATTCGATTTCAGGGCCGAAACGGACCCCTGGGCAGTCTATCATAGAGAAAAACGCCAGTTTTGACGAAAAATCACTTTATTTAAGGTTTTACGTCGGTGCGTATTAAACCTACACCCGAATCCAAACTTGGTCAACTCTATGCGGGAAATCGTACCTCACACTACCACCTAAAATAGCACGGCTCGACATTTGGGTGGTATGGGTATGGTTTGGGCGCTGCAGCCTAGGGAACTTTTCAATTATGACCAAACCAACAAACCAACAAAAACTAGCAAATTTCTCCTTACGGCGAGGTCAACCCTCCTGCATTGGCTGTTTCGGGTTCAACTGAGGCCCCGCGGCCCGCGGTAAGATATAAGTTAGAAAGGTCCTTCTTACCCCTCACTACCATCACTGACCCTCTGAGAAGCGCACTGAGGTCACTTTTGGGTCCATGGCTGCAGCCAAAATGACAGAATTGACGAAACGCCTGAAGGGTAGGCAACTTATCCTACGCGCCTGAAGGGTAGGCAAATTATCCTACGCATGAGGAGGGCTGTTCTGGTCTAATAAAACATGTAGTGGAACATCTGCTTCTTATATTTTGAAGAGGATAATGATCACAATTTTGACAAATTTGGCAGTTAGATAAAATACTAAGCTAGGAGCAAAATTTGGGCCCCATTATACATTGAGCTAATATCGAAATTTGCTGATCATTACACTAAACTAAGAACACAACTTTGCTTAACACAGGGGAAAAAAGTCCAGACGACCATCCGGGAACACCGCTCCCGGACAAATCCGATTTTCCGATTTCGCCTCACAGAATAGTCACGATCATGAGACATATTTTTTTGGAACCACCTCAACGGAAGACGCAAGTTATTTTTTGAACGGACCTCGTACGATGAATTTGGTACGGAAACATGATTCCTGGACGGTCGTAAGAGACATGTCCTTTCCGGGAACACCGTTCCCGTACGTAAAAGCAGCCCCGCAAGCTCAATGAGGGGGCAAACCAGGGCCATTCAGCAGCGCCCAAAATGGACCATCGACGATTTGGCCCATTTTTTGGCTCAAATGTTACCTACCCATAGGTAAACATCGGGGTAAAATTTCAGCCACCTAGGTGTCGTTTCATAGGAGTTATGGGCAATCTTAGTTTTTGACTTTTTTTCTTTAGTGGTTTTTGACCAAATTGCTACATTTTCCAAAAAACCCTCTCAAATCCACAGTTTTGCCCCTAGCTGGCTGAAAACTCGTTTTCCCCTCGTAAAATTGCATGAGGAATTCGATTTCAGGGGCCCAAACGGACCCCTGGGCAGTCTATCATAGAGAAAAACGCCAGTTTTGACGAAAAATCACTTTATTTAAGGGTTTTTCGTCGGTGCGTATTAAACCTACACCCGAATCCAAAATTGGTCAACTCTATGCGGGAAATCGTACCTCACACTACCACCTAAAAAGCACGGCTTGACATTTGGGTGGTATGGGTATGGGTTTTGGGGGCTGCAGCCTAGGGAACTTTTTAATTATGACCAAACCAAAAAAACCCAAAAAAAACTAGCAAATTTCTCCTTACGGCGAGGTCAACCCTCCTGCATTGGCTGTTTTTGGGGTTTAACTGAGGCCCCGCGGTAAGATATAAGTTAGAAAGGTCCTTCTTACCCCCCACTACCATCACTGACCCTCTGAGAAGCGCACTGAGGTCACTTTTGGGTCCATGGCTGCAGCCAAAATGACAGAATTGACGAAACGCCTGTTTTCCTTCTGTTGCTCCGGTTAATTTACAGTGTTCAGCGTCTGCTCGCGGCCGGCCGGGTGCCGGCGGCGCGGCGCGTCGCAGCGATAAGCAGGTCGCTGTCTCAGCGTAGCGTGCTGGCCAGGATGTGGCGGCAGTAACGACAACCCCAAGGCGGGGGCCCCCGGCGGCGGTGCGGGACGCCTCACTTCGTTGTTTTGCCTCCGCAGGTTTTTTATTTACTCTGCTGCAGTCTCAGCCCGCGTTGCTAAACGGAGCGGTGAAATTTGGCGAACGGTTGCCCAAAGCTGGCGAGTGGTCCCTTTGCCGTTACCCGCGCGTACCAACACACGCAGCCGCCCGGCCCTCTGGCCGTCTGCAACACCTTGGTGGCGGCCTTCTTCTCCACAGGCTTTTCCGCGCGATGCTGTAGACGGAGACTGCAGCGTGACCCAAGACACGGACCCGTCATACCGACGCCTTGTTCAAGAGCAGGACCACCGGCACATCTCCCAGCCCGACCCCTTACGACCGAAGATCGACGCCTGAGATTGGATTTCGTTTTCACGGACGCGGTGATGAGGCGACGGGGCCGCGCACAGGAGGTCCTCTCTACAGGTAGCCAGCAGTGGGATGTCTCTTTTGCCGCCAGATCGCAGATCCTTGACCAACATGCACAGCACGGCGATTTGGTGTAGTCGGTCGGGGGGTTTGGTTGGATGAAACTTTCTATTCGGTCGGCACGGTCGCAGGATGCTCCCGCCAGGACACAGGTCGCATGAAGAGAGGGGCAGGGCGAAAAAACACCTTTCTCAATACATCAAAATTTTGGGCCAAGAGGACGCCGTTGATCCCCGAGATAAGGGGACGAAGCAGGGGGGGGACCGGAACCGGTTGTTTCTCGCAGAGGCTGTTCCGGGGTGGAGGCCTGCATAAACCCCCCCGGGGGAGATTTTACTCCTTCACCCTGACTGGCCATACTGCGAGTGGGGGGCTTGTAGTCGCTTGAGGCTCTTCCCCGCCGGGATAAAGTGTCACCTTAGTAAGGACGGCCATGTCTCGTTTTGCAGTGCAGGCGGGCATGTGTCGGGCCCCCCAAATGGCATACGATCAATTGTGGGGCTAGCCCTTTAAAGGTAATGGTAATGGTGAAGGGTAGGCAACTTATCCTACGCGCCTGAAGGGGAGGCAAATTATCCTACGCATGAGGAGGGCTGTTTGGTCTAATAAAACATGTAGTGGAACATCCTTCT